GAACTATCCCTAATGCTATCCTTAATGCATAAAGGTACAAAAGAACAGTTTAATTTCAAGTGACAACAAATCACTAACAAGTTCTTAAAAACTTCAAAAACAGACAAAGATCACTGTTGATCAAGTTGTGTTTCTGCAGTCATTCTGATGATGGTCTGAGACTCTTAGTAATTATGGTCTCTGATGTCATGCACAAAGAACCTCACTCTGTTCGCACATCCGCACTTGCCAACTTTCACAGCAGACACAGACTGCAGCCTTAAGTCTGTAAACTGTCTTTGAACACCGCTGCAGAGGGAATGCAAGGCCACAACTTGAAAGTGAAACCGAAAACTGGGAAACAATAGAATTCTCCCCAAAAACAGGAATCATGCCTAAATCACTAACAACTTCTAATGCAAAAAAAAAAAACAGGTCTCAATGGGATGGAACAGTCTATTCCATTAATTTGCACTTGAGGCTTTGAACCTTTTTGAGTGGTTTTGTTGCATCATGTTCCAAAAAAAGTTTTTGGAACATGTCAAAAGTGTATTTAAAGGGGTCATATGATGCTTTTTTAAAGATCATTATTTTGTGTATTTGGTGTAACAGAATATGTTGACATGCTTTAATGTTCAAAAAACACATTATTTTTCAAATACTGTACATTATTGTAGGTCCTCTATAACACTAATGGTAGCTAATATTTTAATTATCAATGTAGATTTTTAGTCACATTTGCAGGTGCCAGTATAGGACCTGTAGTTAACGTTACTCCATATCAAAGCTAAACCGACCAACCTCAGATTCGAACCTGTCAGCTTAGCTGTGGCGCCGACAAGATAACAGAAGCAAGCAAATTACACATCTTTTGGTAAATCTTACCATTAAATAAGTTAACATTTGCCATGATAAACAACAAAAATAAACTTACCTGCACCTCAACTCTTTGCGGTCCCGCTGGAAGACGTTGAATTTGAATTCCGCGATTCCCGCCTGGACGTTGACATTGACGTATGCGCAATTTGCGATGACAGATCTAATATTTTGGGGTATGTTTTACTTATTTTTTTTAATGTTTCAGATATTACTGTTAACAAGTAGGTAGTGTAGTTAGAATGTACCCATTTGTATATATTTTACTTGATAACTAATATACTTAAGTAAAATATAACTGATTCGGACGGGTTGTATTTAACACCCTCCTGCATAATTTTTTACAGTGTAGATAGATAGCTAGATAGATAGATAGATAGATAGTAGGGATGTAACGATTACTGGTTTGATGATAAATCATGATAAAATTCCCCATGGTTAGCATTACCGTTTAATCTTTTAAGTATCATTAAAACCGTTTTAGATTACCGCGATTTGAACAACTCGCGATAAATAAATACTGTCCAGCATAAAGAACAGTTTTTAAGTATCATTAAAACCGTTTTAGATTACCGCGATTTGAACAACTCGCGATAAATAAATACTGTCCAGCATAAAGCACAGTTTTAAGTAACAGTCTCACGTGCGCACAGCACCCAGAGTAGTTTCGTTTTGAGTGAAAACAGCTCGGAAAAGCTGGGAGGTTTTAAAAGAGTGCTAAGGGAAATATATTAAAAAAAAAAAAAAAAACATGACGTGACATGTGGCCAAGTATGGTTACCCATACTAGGAATTAGTGCTCTGCATTTAACCCATCCTTAGTGCACACACACACAGCAGTGAACACACACACACCGTGAACACACACCCGGAGCAGTGGGCAGCCATTTATGCTGCGGCGCCCGGGGAGCAGTTGGGGGTTCGGTGCCTTGCTCAAGGGCACCTCAGTCGTGGTATTGAAGGTGGGAGAGAGCACTGTACATTCACTCCCCCCACCTACAATTCCTGCCGGTACGGGACTCGAACCCACAACCTTTGGGTTACGAGTCCGACTCTCTAACCATTAGGCCACGACTTCCCCAATTAATTATTTTGAATTATTTTGAATTAATTATATGAATGTACCCCTGAAGGTTCTGACTGTCTTCAGAAACGATTCAATGGCAGTTTGTTTTCATCTTCGCTCCGTGTAATACCTAAAGGAAGTGTTCGGGAAGAGGTTACGGGAAACAGCTCTAATTCAGTTTTTCCATAAGCGCCACCTGCTGTCAGCGAGTGGATTTACAGAGACTTATATTTACATTCAGTCTGTGTGCAGTTTCTGTCTGGCCAAAAACGGACCGAATTTGCATGCCCTGCTGTAAATTTTGACCGGTTGATGAAAAACAAGCTTATGTGAATTCTACACATTTAAACAATTCAGATAAGTTATCTAGAATTATTTATGGAGCAGGTAAAATACATATAATCATTTATTAATCGATTATCATTTTGACTTATATCTTTTTTTTTATTTAAAGGCTGAAATGTGAGGCTTACCTTTTTATTAAACTTTTTCAAAGCTTTATTTGAACATCTACATTAGATATTTCAACATGCTATTAAACTGTTGTCAGTCAAGTTGTCATTTAAAATCCGAACATCATTGGTAATGTTATTGTTTTAGTGATTATGCAAACAAAGAGTCATTTTATTTGTTGTTTGTTGATTTTTAAATATAAAACTTGGTGAAGTGATTTATGTGTCGGTACTTTTTTAACATCTCCAGCACATTTTAACAATGCCGTGATAATACTGATAACCGTGATCACCGTGCTCACACACATTTGTTAAATCCACAAGATGATGGAGTGTCCAAATTGTCTTTTTAGACTCAAAAGTGTGCTCTTAAGTGTCACCCGTGGACTTCATGGACTTGAGTGAGCAAAGGCCACATGGACTGTACTTTTCCAAGCTAGGCAATTCTGAGCGTACACATTTCTAGACAGAAGTGATTGGTTGGAAATTGGTTCCACATTATCCTTATAACCCAAAGTCTATTACAGATGTCATATTCTGAGCTTAGTGAGAAAGTGAACATTTATGAACAATGCATACAATGTCAGGAAATTGTTATTGCAATATTGAAGTTTTGGCTAAATTTACCAACCGAATCCTTTCGTGATCTGTTTTCTCTTATGAGAAATGTGCTGTGAGCACCAAATTCAATGATATGATGAATCATATTTTATTTAGTTCTCTGTAGCCAAGCACAGTCAAAGCACGCTGTGGTGTATAGTAGTGAAATTATGAAATGCAGGCGTTGAGAAGAACATTGCCGAGAATGAGAGTAGTGCATCATCTGACTCTTATCAAAGAGCAAATTATTAAGTTAGTGAGAGGATTGGAGACATACAAACTTTTCTTTGTTGTACTTTCTGTTTCTGGCTGTCTGGTTCTGTTCCAAATGGCACACTTTATGTGGACTTGAGGTCTGGGGCTCTTTGCTCACACACATTTGTGAAATCCACAAGACTTTGTAGACTCAAAAGTGTGCTCTTAAGCGCCTCCTGTGGACTTGTACTTTTCCATGCTGGCAATTCTGAGTTTGTAGAATGCACTGCTAAAAGTGTACACTACAATTGTGTGCACTTTTGAGTGTATATTTTGGCACTGTGAACTTTTTGGGTCTTCAGTTCCACTTCAGGTGAAACATTTAAGACAAGTCCTATAGTACGTCCCCATAATATACACTTCTACATGTGTGCTTCTGTAGTATTGAATTTTGAGTGTATATATACTATAGTATAAATAAATACTTCTACAGTATAAATACTTCTACAGTGTACAGATCTTGTAACCTGTAATCGAGTGCATTTCTGAGTAAAGAGTTTTGTGGAATTCCCTTTTTTATGTATATATGTATTTCATAGTTTGGCACCATACTGGGCCACTTCAGTTCTGCATCAAATGCACCTCATAATCTGTGCACTTCGGTAGTATGCACTTCTGAGTATACACTTCCACAGTGCTCTTCCACAGCCTGCCAACTTTGGTAGTCGCACTCATTATTCTCCATGGAGACACGTAGACGCTCAATTAGCAGAAGCCACAGAGAGTTGTTCAAAAGCATGACTTAATAAGGTGCTTAACTTCATTTAGCACTGTGCTGCTCTGATGACCTGTTTCACTCTCATTCTATAGTGGTTAATAATAGGAAATTGTCTATTTAATGAGTGTCTTATGGGTTGTTAACTATCACATTCAATGCTCATCAAAGGACGTGATCATGAATGTATGTGAATATTAACCTAGTGCCGAGCTGCAACGATTAGAATCTGAGCCTGAATGCAAGGCAAGACATGAATGGTCTTGAAACTGCTTTATTGCAGTTGATGTCTGTTGTGAAATGACTTCAAAGAGCTGCCTGAACAAATGAATCCAGCTCATTGTGTATTCATGGTAGGTAGGAAAGAACAGTATGACGGCATAACACATGTGTCGTGACAGTAGAGATGCGTCAATGTGGCAATTGAAATGTGGTGTAGTCTCTGAACTGTCACATGCATAATGATATATGATATATTTCTTCTAATTAAAGTTACAAAAGTGATTTAGTTAAGAGCAGTGAGAGATTTTCTCTCTTTTGTTGTTGATTAACATGAACGACAGACAGCAGGAATATTAGACTGCTGTCACATTAAGAGCTTCCCAGATCCAATGTACTGTTACACGTTTTCTTTCTCAGCTGTTTGCTTTCACTTAAGACCTAAATTACAGTGTTTACAAGGAAACTTGCAAAAATGGGCATTTTGACACATGCAAGTGTGTGCATTTAACTGTTCAAGGCTTATGAAGCTGCAAAAATTACTCATGCGCTATATGAGCACTGTCTTCATGCGCATGGGCATATAGCGAAACGAGATCTCTTTCGCTGCTGATTGTGTTTCAGTGGCTTAAAATCACTTGTTTTTAAAACGTGATGCTTAAAAATGTGTGCAAAAGATATGTTTTCATGACCACGTAGCACAGCAATGTTACGTGAGCGTGTAACCGCAATAAAGACGATAGTCCAGAATCTCTACCGGTTGACAAATTGACAAATATACACCGTTATGCAATATTTTATTAAGTAAACCATATTGTTTATGTCTTTGTGTTTTTAGTTAGCGAGGGTAAGTCCCAGAAGATGGCTGAACCTGCAGGAGTACCAGAGCAAGAAGCTGATGCAGGACAACGGCGTGACAGTCCAGCGCTTCTTTGTGGCTGACTCTGCCTCTGAAGCCCTGGAGGCTGCCAAGAGACTCAGTAAGTGTCCTTCTCATTTTAAACTGCTCGCTGTTAAGTGCCGCTTTTTTGAAGTCTCTCTAATAGCTTTAAGAGTCGACAATGTGCTTACATGAATAACACTTCATTGATAACATGCTAATGAGGTGATGTTTAGTTGTTAACTCGATTGGTGCTTCTATGCTGAGATTTGGCCTCCCACGCAGCAAGCTGGGCCATGAGGGATAGAATTAGCCAATGAGAACGAAGAACACAAATTGCATTGATGTTTTTGCTTTTATTCTGGTGGACATGCCTTCAAGGGTCAACAGGACTGAAGATTGTCTCTTATTTCTTCTGCTTCTCTTATGTTTACATGGGTTGTTGCTCCTTCACTGTTTTTATCCATGCTGGCTCATTCTTGTTTTCTTTCATGCCTTTTTATTTATTTCCAAGCATGTGAGCTTCTGTTTCTGAGACAAGCACCTTTTATATGTGGCATTTCCGAAATCCAAATTTACCGGGCTAAATCCAAGAGGTGGACTAATGTCTGTTAGTGCCGGTTTTCAAACCTCATTTGGTTTCATGTGTGAGAGACTATGGATGCTTTCCAGAGGCTCACAGCTGTAATCTTCTTCTATCTTACTCTACAGAACAGGCTTTAGCATTCCATTTCGAGCTCTTCCACCCTTACTGTATGTGACTAAATATTTACTTTCAAATGTGGTTTGTTGTTCATATGAGTTTGATTCTGCAGTCCAGGTGCTGTTTCAGGTCAAATGTTGAGGGCGAGACATCTTTTTTTCTAACTCAATTTGGAACATATTTCGAGATGGCATTTCCAGTCCAGCACATTGAGTGTTTCAGCCTGGTTCCTGTGGGATAGGGCAGGGCCCGGGCCCGGGCGACATGTACGAGGCGACCAAGCGAGACGTGAAGGATTTCTGTGACTGCGATAGTGCAGTGAGCTGTTCTCCCCAGTGCAGAGATGCCACCCCACAGTTGGGCCCACTTACCCATGCGGCAATTCAGCTGACAGCTCAATTCGAGTTCTGCGGTTTGCTGCTCCTCAACCACAGCAAACAATGCTTTTAAAGAAGCAATGTTATTTCTTTTTTTTTTTAGTTATTTGCAATACGCTAACGTGTTGAAAAAATACATCTGCACTTCCTGTTTTGGCATGTTTACCATTAAAGGGTTAGTTCACCCAAAAATGAAAATTAGCCCATGAATTACTCACCCTTAAGGCATCCTAGGTGTATATGAATAATGCCCATAATAATGGGCTAAATTTCATTTTTGGGTTATTATTAGTATTATTATTGGCCTTTTTTGTCTTCTTATTAGTTAGAACTCTGAAATCATTTATTTGTTTAAATTTTAAATAATATTTAAAATATTTTATTATATTAAATTAATTTTATTTATATACAGTAGGGCTGTCAAAATGGCTGAAAAAGTAAATTCGAATTCTGTACTTAAATATTATCAAAATTCGAATTATATTCAAATTTAAAATGTATAATTTCAGTTATGGTGAAGAATAGCTTTTGGCTTCTCTTCTGAGGCCACAAGAGGGCGCATCGAGCAAAATATTACTAATGCACGTTTATTCAATTACACCAATTATAATTAATTAAGTTGCTTAAACAACTATAAACAAAACAGCATCATGTATGTATGCATAGTTTAATACAAAGGGCAGAAAGCCCTTTGAGTAAATTTTTTTATATAAAAACATGAGATGCAGCGGGATGGGCAAAAAAAAATGCCATAAAGTCTCAATATGTTTTTTTCAAAGTTAAACTTGCTTTAATTTTACATGCGCAGCGCCTCATCTAGTGGCTTCAACTGTATAGGTTAAACAAAAACATTATAATGCAACGACACTTACATCGTCATCGCATCTCGTGCGTCACTGATAAGGCTGCCTGACGCACACCTAAAATTTATATTAATATTTACGAATATTCGTCGAATTTAAAATAAAAATCCACATTCGAATGCAAAAACGTTTCATTTTCCAATATTGTTTGTTTGAGTTTTTTATCTAATCAAATTTGTGTTGTTCCACAACCCGTTTGACTGTATTTCACCTTTGAACACAAAAGTAAATGTTTAGCAGAATGTTAACCCTGCTTTCTTCCATAAAATGAAACTAAAATGGGGACCAAGAGCTGTCAAGCACAACAAAGTATCATTAAAGCAGTCCACATGACTCATTCACTGTATCCCAAAGATTTTTGATAGCTTTTTATGAGAAACAAACTAAAATTTGGGTTGTTATTGATTATGCTTGACTGTTCACTTTTATTGTGTGGAAAAAAGCAGCCTGGACACTCTGCTAAACATCTCATTTTGTGTGTTCCACATAGAAAAGGAAGTCACACTGGTTCCAAGTGAGATTGAGGAAATAATAATTGAAATTTCAAATTTTGCATAACCTATCCCTTAAAGATAGTAGGAAGAATTCATTATACTAACTTCTGTGGAAGAAAGATGGAATAATACTGTTTCATCCAAGTGACAAGTGACTGGGCTTAAAACTGTGAAGGGAGTTTCTTTGTTGACATTCTTGCTTTGTTTGTTGACTGACTGCAGGCCATGGTGCTAATGATCCCACACCTGTCCCTAAAGTTGGGCCTGTGTTTGGCACAGAGGCAGGGGGGCTGCCCATTTTAAACAACCCCCTGTGCCGTTAAGTAATCTGACTGTCAAAGAGGCAAGTCTGATGCTGCCTTCATCTGTCACCAACCGCCACTCGATTATGCAGCTCTGCCTGATGCCAATACATACACGCGTGCACATTAACACACACACACATACACACACACACACACACACACACACGCACACGAAGGAACAATGAGAGAGAAGACAAAAGATAAAGTGAGTGCGAAAGATATAGGAGGAGTAGATAGAGAGTGACTGAGAGCGGGGTCACACAGCATAGCTAAAATATGCTACTGCTGACTTCCGATTGGATGATAAGGTGGGAACTTTTTGCCACCGAACTGAGACGGCGCAATAAATCAAAATGAGAACGGTTGCATAGCTCAACCATAGAAAGACTCTCTCAGACTATCTCCACCGTGCTCTTGTCCTATTTAAGAAGGAGAGATCTGCTCAAGATTGAAGGGTTGGGGAATTGGAGAGGTTCCTCGTTTTTGGCTGGAAAACGAGCAGATTTCAACACCTGTAATCAAAAGTGAATCCACCTCAGAGAGAGGCCTTTTTATAGGTAAAAATAAATACGCAGTATGACGCAGGTTCCAGTATAACCCCTATTCCCAGAACACCATCTTCTGACATGAAAGGAACATAAATGTTAATCATTACTTCTGCCGCCTTTCCATCCTGGTACTCGCAAACAGATATTTCTCAGCCAATAAGAACGTTGAATCATATTGGCCTGTTTTGTTTTAGCCACAGGTCCTGTTGACAGATGCATCTGCTGGGTAAATGTTGATGGATTTGTCCGCTAGAATATTCCAGAATGGTTTTCTCACTGTGCATTATTTAGACCCAAGCAGAAGCATAGATGGAGAAATATTTATTCGTTGACAGACTTTTGTTCAACAAAACCAAGAAAACATTTTCCTTTCTTGCACTAACTTTTCTTTTCTCGCTTATTAATTCAGAAATTAGAGCCTGTTTTAAATGACAGAGAGCGTTAGACTGACAATTAACAGGAGAGGGATGTATTAATACATTTCACGGAGGTATGAATATTCAAAGTAAACAGCAATGGTTTATGCATGGCAGTCAAATCTCATGTGTCCTTATTAGAGAGGCAGCAACTTTCATATGTCAACCTACAGTGGTATGCTGAATTACCCTGACATTCAACAATGCTGAGAAGAGAGGCAGAGGTATATGGCATAATGCAGAGCGGTTTCACATGTATAGTTTGACTCAACTAGTTAAGGCAGCTTTGAGAAAAGCTTTTGATCGTAGCCTTATAGGAAAAGTTGATGAAGGTGACATAAGTTACTGTCAAGCAATTCATTTAGCTGAGGTCTTGCCGCTGATTGTATTTTCTTAACAGCTTTTTACATCATCTGGATTGAGGCCGTTATCAATCAAGACCACTGCTTTTGATCTTAGTAGGGAATAATTAACATAATAAAACGAAAGCTGAAGGTTGTTGCACCTATGCCCCATTTTCTATCAGCACACCATTGCATGCAGACATGAGGTTATAAAATGTTCCTCTCAATTGTGTATAAACGCTTTTATTGGATTATTTTACAGCAGTAAAAAGGATTTTTTCATTTTTATTAAATTAATTATTATAAATTATTAAATATTATAATAAAAAAAAAATACTTTTTAATCGCTATCAGTTGTGTCCAGTTGTGGTGAGATCGGCAGCTTTGGCTGTCAGAGGGCCTCAGAGCATCGATGCTTTCACACTTCTCTTCTCCAGGCTCTTCATCAGTGGCATCACACCATATGTCTCTCCGCCGACCCACCACTCTGCTACATACACACCATCTGCCGAGTCTTCCCTCGTTCCGAAAGCCTCCTCACTCACAACTTGTGTTGACTAGAAACTGACTAGTATCCCATAATGTGAAATACCTCCATATTTGAGGTATAATGACTTTGTGTGTGTGTGTGTTATGCTACAATAAAAAAAAGCATTTAAATAGATCTCTCTTTGTGTTTAAATATTCGTTTTGACCAAAGTGTTCAATACACTCTCTGGCAGACTTGAAATTTTAGGGATGCGCCAATATAAAATTTCTGGCCCTGTATATATA